GTCGTGATAAAGTTTTATGGTGAAATAACATGAATTTCTCCCGGACAAAAAAATCATATCAGAAACCCGCCATCAACGAACCCTAGTTGAACGACATGAATGCAAAATCGGCGCGAATAAATAGGGAAAATTTTATGATTTCAATTCAATAACAAGCTTAAAATTGTGGAAATATGCACTAATATGATCATAGTTGATAACCCGAGGCAAACATGTCTACAACCAAAAATTTTGAAAAAAATTAAAAACTTACCATATACGGGTTCGGGAAGGCGGCCTCGTATGTGACATGCAAAATCTTTTTGAATTTCATCGGATTGTTGGCTATCTTCGTTCAACATTGTAGAAGTTGACCTATGGGTTCGAACCGTAGAGAATAATGGAGAGGGGGTGATATTATAACTGACGAAATGACTTTGTTTTCTGAAATAAAGGGGGAAATTGGAATGGACGAAAATGCCCTTGTTTAAATTGGTCAAAATTTGCATTTTTTCCATTTTTGAGGTCAACTGATGGTGAAACTAACGTTTTCAATCATTTTGGATAGTATTTGCGAATTTATCAAAGGTTTGGGACCTATGGTAGCGCAAAGTGAAGGTTGAGGTAAAATTTACAAAAAATGAAAAGATTTGGGACCGCGACTGCAATTTTCCCTTTCTTTTTATGGTTGCTTGACACGTAAATTTACGAGAAAATTTAGCACGTTAATTACAACTAGAAAGTGGGAGAGAATTTTATTTATCCAAAATTAGACCCATCTGCTAAATTCACTCCCTACCCCTCTCCCCCACAATACGCAGTTATTGTTTCTCTTTGGACTTCATTCTTCATCCTTTCTTTTGGCGTCGCCCAACAAAAACCCCCAATCAATAACAAATTCAATACTAAAAAACACAATTTGATTTCAATTCATTCATCAATGGCGGCGTCAAGGCTACCTGAGGCGGATCTTGAGGGCATTGAAGGCGTTCGAATGACGTGGAACAACTGGCCACGGACCAAGGTGGAGGCATCCAAGTGCGTGATCCCAATTGCTGCATCGATCCAGCCGATCCGTCCCCACGTCGACCTCCAAATCCTCCCGTACCCTCCACTGCGCTGCAAGACCTGCTCCGCCGTCCTCAGCCCCTATTGCCGCGTTGATTTCACTGCCCTTATATGGATGTGTCCTTTTTGCTACCAGCGCAACCATTTTCCGCAGCATTATCAATCCATTTCGCAGACCAATTTACCTGCAGAATTGTACCCTAATTTCCCTTCAATTGAATACACCATTCCCAGTTATCCCCAAAACCCACAGAATTTCAACACGTCCACGACAGTCTGTCCCATTTATCTGTTTGTTTTGGATACATGTTTGCTCGAGGTGGAGCTGGATTTTGCAAAATCTGCCTTGAAGCGTGCGATTGGAATGCTGCCGGACAATGCGATGGTTGGATTTGTTTCCTATGGTACGCAGGTACAGGTGCACGAGTTGGGGTTTTCAGAGATGTCCAAGGTTTATGTGTTCAGGGGATCGAAAGAGTTGTCCAAAGATCAGGTCTTGGAGCAGTTGGGCCTAGGGGCGGCCGGTAGACGAGTTGGGCCTGGTGTTCAGAAGGGTGTTGACGGCCTAAATCCTCTGGGCGGGGCTCCTAATTCTGGGATTAACCGGTTTCTGTTGCCGGCATCTAACAACTGTGCTTGTTTCATTAGGGCTTTTGTGATTTATTGCATAATGAAATATTTCTGTTGCCGGCATCTGAGTGCGAGTATACACTCAATTCGGTAATTAATTTCTTAGTTGTAGTTTAAAAGGTGCTTTTTATTTGGGTGTTTGGTCTTTGACTCGGAGTGTGGTTGAATATGCATAGACATTCTACTATTTTTGGATCAATTTTGATTCTTGGCTGGAATTTGTTTATTTTGAGGCTTATTGGAATTTGGGTGTTCTATAATTAATTTGTTTATTTTGATTGTTTGTGTACGATTTAGCTGTTGGATGAGCTGGGAACAGATCAATGGCCAGTGGCACCAGGGAAAAGGCCATTAAGGTGTACAGGAGTTGCATTGAGTGTTGCAGCGGGGTTGCTAGGGGCGTCTATGGTAGGAACTGGTGCTCGAATTATTGCATTAGTAGGTGGTCCATGCACAGATGGTCCTGGATCGGTAAATCCTTTAACTTTCCTGTTAATCTACTGTTGTTATCATTCAGCTAGATGGTAATTTGTTTTCTTTTAATTATGTGGTGCAATTTTTGGCCATCAAGAAACAATTTAGTTGCTTGGTTTGTATCTTTTCTTCTGCGATTTTCTCTCATCTTTCATTATTATCTTGTGGCTTGATGCAATGGGGTTAGATTATTACATCCAGATTCCATATAACAATTTTGGTAGAATGCAATGTATTTTGGATATTATTATTTTATTTTCATAGATGTTGCATCAAATTGGTACTATTTGATGATTATGCACATTTTTTTTTAACCTTACAAGAATTGACGGAAAGAAGAGTGTTAAGTTGCTAATATTATTTTTAAAAAAAATTATACTGATATGATAATGCATATAAAAAGGAAAATGACACAATAAAGGTTTTAAGTTACCTCGTTAATCCGAGAATTTCATAATTGGATAAATCTGACTCCAGGGAAATCTTTCAGATCACATCCTGTAAATTTAACCTTTAATTTGAACTAGGCTATTCACTTATTGGGTAGCAGACAGTACTGAACATGACTTACCATAATTGTCTGATCATTTTGGTGAATTTCTAAATGTGCACAGCTGTTGCTGTGGGATTCAATACTTTAACTATTTGCTCTTTCCACCTATTTTCTCATTAGAAAAGGCTGTTCTGGGCTTGTGGTATCCTTTTTTTTTCCTTTTAAAGTTGAGCTATTAAAGTTACTGACTCTATTGAGTTAAGCAAAGTTTCCACTGCTGTAATCTGGTCCATTTGTCATGACTGTTTTACCTGTTCGATTTGATCTGAACTATTTAACAGCTGGTATCTTTGCTTACAGATTGTTTCCAAAGACTTGTCTGATCCAGTTCGATCCCATAAGGATCTTGACAAGGATGCTGCACCATTTTTCAAAAAATCAGTACAATTCTATGAGGACCTTGGAAAACAGCTAGTCAGTCAGGGTCATGTGTTGGATGTCTTTGCCTCTGCACTTGATCAGGTTTGTAATGCTTAGGTCAAATAGTTATATTTGCATTCCCTGGTTGGTTTAATGCTGAAGTTTTATGCTTCATCAAAACTGGAAGTAGAATAAGACTATATATTTGCTTTTCATTCCACACGAGTATGGGATAAAGCTTTGTTGAGTTTAGTTGAGTGTATTTGCTTTTTCTGGACCTTTCTATTGCCTGCATTGTCAACTAGGTTCAAAGTTTGTTGAACTAGGAGGGAAATTATGAATATGGTATTTTAACTTCAGAATCTTTATGGATGTATTGTACATGTATATTTTTTGTTCATAAAATTGTGTATACCCCTGTATATTTTATGTATTTATGTGTAGACACACTTATTTTATATTGTATTTGGTTAAAACACGAAGTGCTGAAATTTAGTAAAAGGTCTATAATTGCACTTTGTTTTCTTACTGTGCATATACTTGGCTGATCTGTATACTAGGCACGTGAAGGGCCATATCTTTGGGCATGTGGAGACATAATATTCAGCTTAAAAAATATGATATAATAAATGTAAAATAAAAGGGTTTTATTGGCTTCTGTACTGTAATATTTTGCTTTCATGTTCTGCATGCAGTTTTTGGGCTGCCATGTTAGGATTTTATAAAGGCATAAAAAACTGACCGATCCTTTGCTGGGTTTCATTTACCGCCTTGTCATTTATCCTACTCACTTACATTAGAAGTTTTCAGGTTGGGATTGCTGAGATGAAGGTTGCCATTGAAAGAACTGGTGGACTGGTTGTTCTAGCTGAAAGTTTTGGTCACTCTGTCTTCAAGGAATCGTTCAAGCACATTTTTGAAGACGGGGAACTGTCTCTTGGGCTTTCATTCAAGTGAGTTTCTGGACATTGAATGTGGAAACCTCTGTTTTCATTTTTGTAACTACTAATTTCTTCTCTCACGAGGCTGCTGTGAAGTACTGATGTTTATCTATGATAGCATATGGAGGGAGGGGTAAATACAGAGTCTTTAATCAATCTGCCCTTGTGCAAATATTGTAATGAATGTTGGTGATCTTGTTTTGTCTTTCTCTGCACTTCCCTTATTCTGGCATAATGCCAACAGGGGTCAGATTTTTAGTATCAAACTTTTTTGAACTTCTAATTTACTATGAGATTACCACTGAGCAACCTTGTGCATATTCAGCATCTGTAGTGATGTGAATACATCAGTTTCTTTCCTCACTCCATGTTTTTGTGATATTCCTTTCGTCTACATATGTTGCAGTTGTTTCTTAAGAGGAAATTATTGGAAAAGAAAAACTTACTAAATTTTATTGCTGTCAGTGGCACACTTGAGATCAACTGTTCAAAGGATATTAAGATTCAAGGGATTATTGGTTCATGCTCATCTTTGGAGAAGGTAAGTTCATTCAGTATTTTTGTGCAGTACAAGGCCTGTAATAATAGTAGCTGAGATTAGCTGCCATATCCTTTCGAACTCTAGGATCTATTTCAACTATTATCTAGCTTGACAATGATCCATGAGATCCGTGCAGAAAGGACCTGCTGTTGCCAACACTGTTATCGGACAGGGCAATACTACAGCTTGGAAAATGTGTGGCCTCGACAGAAACACTTCAATGACTGTGTTTTTTGATATTTCTTCTAATGAAAAATCAGATCCTTCAGGCACGAATCCTCAATTATACATACAGTTTATTACAAGGTGTGTGGAGAATCTTTCTGAGACTTTGCTTCTTCAAATGGATTGTACCCAATTTTCAACTCAGATACTCTTCATTTGCTGGGTCTCTGTTTAGTTTGTCGTGACTCCTGAATTGGATGATGTGCATGGCTACTCATTTTGGTCATGGCAATCTATTCACATTCTATATATTATTTACTTGTACGAGTTAATTTGCTTAACCTTCGTAAATTGGAGTGGAAATGCTGGTGGTCTAATTTAATTTTAATTTGTTCTTCATGATACAAATACAGTTATCAGAGTCCGGATGGCCAAACAAGGCTGAGAGCCACAACCGTTACTAGACGATGGGTTGATGGTGCTGTTGGCACTGAGGTAAGATGATGGTTGTCTTTATTTGTTGTGTGGTGTGAGATTTCTTGTTTTTGCCCAAATTTCGGAACTTCCCTGTTCCAAGAGATGTAGAGAATTTCTCCCTTTCCCACACAGTCCCTTTTAGAGCCATTTTTCTCCTCATCCTTTTTTCTCTAGTTATTTTACATGCTTGAATTAATTATTATGAGCATGTCCATGGTATGAAAAAACCTTGCTGAGGCCCGCCTCACTGTGAAGCGCAGCTTCTGTGCCTCGAGGCTCAATCTGTGAGGCACAAGAAATGAGGAGCATGCCTCTACATCTGAGGCA